AAGTTGCTGTGAGTTATGACACCGTAGGACTCAACCCCAGGATGACAGAGTGAGACTCTATCTCAAAGAAAAAAAAAAATCCTAGCCCTGTCCCTCAGGCGCAAGGCCCCTCTATTCCTGAGCCACATCCGTCACTCGTCACATGGGAGAGAGAATCACCAGGTGTAGATCTAGCTTTCTGGGGCCTGAGCCTGCCTGAAGACTGGCATGCCCAGCTAAGATGTCTACTGTGCTCCTCTGAGCAGGGCTGAGCTCTCCCTCCAAAGCAAGCCTCACTATTGCTGTCCCCCATTCCTCTCAAAGCCAGGGGTGCACAGTCCCTGGACTAGAGCCAGGCACAGTCTCTCGGACTCCACCTCCTTCCTCAGGCTGCCCATGTCACGGCAGGCCAGGGCAGGCATCCAGTGTGGAGGCAGGGGTGTGTGCAGCCCAGGCAAGGTTTAGCCAATGGGGCCCCAGAACCTGGCCACTCCTCCCAAGGTCAGTCACTGGGAGAACAGAGGCCCTGGATGGAGACAGGGCCTGGGCCAGCCAACCAGGCAGGTCGAGCCAAGACAGGGAGGGCTGCGTCACTACAAGGGTGGGAGGGCACCCAGAGGTCAGAAACTCGTTCCTCTCAGACGGCAGCTATGCCAGGCACTGGCCCCAGGCCACAACAAACCTAGCCAGACTTGATAATCCTAGACTGGGCCCCAGCTCGCCACACCATGGCTCTACATCCCTTCTCCTGGGCCGCAGGAGAGTCATGCCGCAAACCTGCTGGGTCAGAGCAGGAGAGGCCACCTCACCCCATCCCTTCACAGCTGGGGAAGCCCAGAGCCCCTGGGCCAGAGTTCCTTCTAGAAAACTTGACAACAGGTCCACATGAACAGACTTAACCTTGACTTTCTCCCTCCTCCAAGTACCCAGGTCCCAATGATCCTGCCTCCTTAAACTCTGTCTTCCCAACTACCCTGACTTGCCCAGGCCCTAGCACTGGGCTACTTCCATAGCTGTTCACAGGCCTCTGCACAGCACAGACAGATCTTTCCAATAAGCAAATCCACCAACTCAGCAACCACCACTTACTATCA